AACTTCAGATTGTTGTTCCCACCGGGATTCGGACTGTGGAGCGATCGCTTCAAAAGGGAGAGCGTTATCCACTATACCACCGGGCGACGACAGCCGCTTCTTGTGCGACGGGTATAGTTTTTAGCATATAACTGTTTTTAAATAGTACTGTCGTTTATTCCACTGCCAGCCACTATCCATCATTACTATTTTGGGCCCCATTTATACATATGATCGACAACTTACGTCAGCATTTCGAAAGCCCATATCTACTCCATACGTGAAGGATATCTACGAAGCCTAAGTTGACAAAACAGACACTCTACTCTCCTACCTTTAAAGGGACGCTTCTCGTGTCCCTCAAATTGTGGAGATTTTCTCTCCGTAGTTGATCAATGACTTGCTGGCAGGACCAAGAAGTGGCTTTCATCACTCTGCTTTAGAACAGCAGAACAACAGAAAACGCATTTGAATGAGTTTTTAGGGATATCTCCTGCACTCTCTCAGAAACTGTGGCAGAACGTCGTTTGCTTACCCAAACGTTTTTTGGGAGATGGAATGGTTGACCACGAAGCAATGCTCTAGAGAATGCAAACCAAATGCACGCCAGTTGGCCTATAGGCAGGCATGGGAGGACTCGTGACGCCCAGGAACTCAGACTCAGGAACGGAAAGCAAATGGGTGGCTTAAATCATGAAAGGTGTCATAAAACAGTTCAGGTTGATGAAGTATACAGTGATTGAGTCGATGCTACATGAATTTTCCTGTTTTTCAGTAATGCGAACACTTACGAATAATCGTCCACGCTACTTATACGAATTGAACTGACATGGTTAACATCATTGGAAATGTTGTGAAAAGGTGCAGGTTTCTGCAATAATGCATGCTGCGAATTCAGAATTGCATTCAATTTGTCCAGAATAACGTGATAACTGTCACTTGTTAAAACCTCGCCTGGTTAACTAGTTCACTAGTTACTACCCGGTCCTAAGCCCGGGCAAACAGGAAAGATTGGGCGTAGGGCTAGCAACCCTGCCCCGTAAAACAAATCTAACCACTAAAGAAACTTCGAAGCACAAACGAAATATAAAAAATAATAACAAAATTATTCCTCACTGGAATCGGAGAGGCGAAATGACACCGGCTAATGAAAACCTTCGGGAAGCCAATTGACTGATGTGTCTTCTCTCGATGAAAGCGAAAGTAAAAGTGGGGACATGGAATGTCCGCACCATGTTTGAACCTAGCAAGGCAGCCAGATTGCAAACGAGATGAAGAAGTATCACGCTGAAGTGCTTGGAGTTTGCGAAAGCAGATGGAATGGGAGTGGACTCTACAAACTGTCAACTGGAGAATCAATAATCTACTCCGGTCACCCAGACGACAACCACGAGCACACTGAGGGAGTGGCTATCATGATGTCCCCAACGGCATCGAAGGCTCTCATGCAGTGGGAACCAATCTCCTCCAGCATCAGGATCACGGCAGCAAGATTCAACTCAAAAGGAAGGAAAGTCACAGTCATACAACGCCATGCTACGCTGAGCACCTACAAATAATGCAGAGCAAGAGAAGAAGGAGGAATTCTACAGACAACTTCGATCAACACTGGACAAGATCTCAGTTGGCAACATCAAATTCTAATAGGCGACATGAATGCCAAACTGGGAGCAGACAACACAGGAAGAGAACTAACCATGGGTCGAGAAGCACTCGGTGAGGTGGTGAACGAGAATGGAGAATTGTTTGCAGAATCCTGCGCATTCAACGGCTTGGTGATTGGAGGCAGTGTGTTCAAGCATAAGGATATCCACAAAGCGACTGACATGGATTTTCACCAGACACCAGGACACACTAAAAATCAGATAGACTTTATCTCAATCTCAGGAAAGTGGAGACGCAGTCTACTTGACACAAGGTCAAGAAGAGGAGCAGATGTAGGTTCCCACCACTAACTATCTAGTGCAAGGAACCTTCCAAGTCAAGTTGAAAGCCTTCAAGGAAGTTGGTGATAGACCGCAGTTCAAGTTCAACACCCGGAAGCTGAGAGACGAAACTACAAAGGATATCTTCACGGCAGCCATCAAGACAAAATGGAAGATATCGAGGAACATCCCTGAAGAAACCTGTGTGGAAAAACACTGGAAGTCTTTGAAAGAGATGTGGAAAGAAACCTGCACAGTCGTATTAGGAAGGAAGAAGAAAGGAGATAAGGAATGGATCTCGACGGATACCTGGAAGCTGGTAGAAGAGGGAGAGGAGGATGGTGAAGCAGAAGATAAACCAGTACAAGGATGCTCCACGACAAGAGGAACTGAGTACAATGTAAAAAACACTGGACAAAGAAGTGAAGAAGGGTTCACGGAAAGACAAAAGACACTTTTACGAAAAATTGGCAAGTGAAGTAGAACAGGCTGCAGGTAGAAGAGACCTAACAACATCGTATCAAATAACCAGGTTGCTATCTGGGAAGAGATCAATGTAGACGAAACCAATAAAAGATGATGACAGAAATTTAATTACGAAAGAAGAGAAACAAAGAAAACAATGGGCTGACTACTTCAAGAAGCTCTTGAATCTACCACCACCTGCACTTCGTCCAGAAATACCACCACCAACGGTAGAACTACGAGTGAACATAGGCCCCCCAACAATAGCAGAAGTCCTAAACGCCATAAAGCAACTGAAATGCGGGAAAGCAGCAGGACCAGATGGAATCCCGCCAGAAGCACTGAGAGCAGCCTCAGAGACAACAGTAGACATGTTCACACCACTATTGCAGAAAGTGTGGAAGGAAAGGAAGGTACCTAGCGATTGGAAGAAGAGCTATCTTGCCAAACTCCCAAAGAAGGGAGACCTCAGCCTTTGCAATAACTGGCGCGGAATCACTCTCCTGTCCGACCGGAGCAAGCAAAATATTAAGCCACATCATCCTGGAGAGGCTAAAGGATGCGCTAGATTCAAAACTACGACCGGAACAGGATGGCTGGCTGGCTTCGGGAAGTGCAAATCATGTGCTGACCAAATTGCCATGCCATGCCACGCGTCATCATAGAACAGAGTATAGAATGGCAGTCACCTCTGCACCTCAACTTTATCCACTTTGAGAGGGCCTTTGACAGCATCGACCGAGAGGTAATTTGGAAACTGCTTCAACACTACGGAATACCGCAAACTTTTATCAGTCTCATTCAACAAATATATGAAGACACCACATGCCAAGTAATTCACAATGGAAAGCTTTTGAAGTGAAGGCAGGAGTGAAACAAGGTCGCCTACTATCACTTATGATATTCCTGATTGTGGTCGATTGGATCATGTAGCAAACAGTGAGGAGCTGTGAGAAGAGGGGGATACGCTGGACCAATGAGAAGACCCTAGAATATTTGGATTTCGCCGGTGACTTATGTCTAATGTCCTATACCCAACCAACACCACCACCAACAACAACAAGCTCCAATCACCATCAATGGGAGAAACCTGAAGGAAGTAGTCTCTTTCATCTATCTAGGCAGCACTGTTTCAACTACAGGCTGCGGCACAGACGAGGATATCAAAGTCAGAATCGGAAAAGCAAGACAGGTGTTCATTACCCTTAAACTAATGTGGAGATCTTCTTCACTCAGCATGTGGAACAAGATCCGGATTTTCAACACCAATGTCAATTCAGTGCTCCTGCATGGTTCAGAGACTTGGCGCCTTACGAAAGGGATTTCCAATAAACTATAGACATTCATCAACAACTGCTTACGCTCGCTACTGAAGATTATATGGCCAGAAAGAATAGGCAACAAGGAACTCTGGGGGGACACGCGTCAGGCCAGTTGCTCGAGTGGAATCCCCATGGGAAGTGACGAGTTGGACGTCCGAGGGTGACATGGAGGAGATCGTGCGAGGAGGAAATGAGGGCTTCTTGGCTGTTGTGGAGCCAGGTTGAAAAGATTTCAGGGAACAGAGTTCACTGGAGATGTGCTACTGAGGCCCTATGTTCCATTAAGAACCCAAGGGACTAATAATAATATTAATGATGATGTCACTTGGTAAAATTATGAAGTAGTATCCGACAACTAAGTCAAATAAAAGTAATGTGCTTGCGCAGTTCTATCAGAAGATGTACAGTCGGTCAAATGATGTTAGAGTGACTGGTGATAAAGCACAAAGGAGGGATAATCCTTATTCCTTGTAGTAACGGTGGAATTCCTGTCCCTACATGTCTTCAAGCAGTAACGTTTGAGAGATTGCATTGCTAATCCTCACCCAACGATACATATTTTCATATAATCCTGCTACTGCCAAAGCTTCTGCTTTATCATTTCCAGGAGACGTAAAAATAGAGGATGCAAGTGGATATTATGAAAGAAATTCAAAACAGTATGATTCAAAAGATACAAGACAACTATAACAACAATGAAAAGAACAGTGATTGAGTCAGTAGGTGAATATCGAATAACCATGTTCCAAAACATATCATGTTACAAATCAAATATTGATCTTAACAACTCGACCGCTACTAAACTGTTCAAGACTTAAAACTTGGGCCTGTTATCGACAGAAGCAGTCACCAAATAAAGTATTGAAAACGAATTAATAATAATAATGGCTTTTTTTATCATAAAAAACAAGAAATCAGCTCATGAAACTAAAAATCGTGGTTTCCTGAACATGCAGCTTCCAAGAGGTGCGTTTGTTTTACAGAGTGTTTCAAACTAGAGCGGTCTGGCTTTCGAGGCCATGGTATCTGAGATACCGAGAAGAGTAAGTTTTCCTTAATTATTTGATTATCTTTACACAAACATATAATACATAACCGTTTTAGTCTCTTTTCCACAGGATTGCCGACTCTATAACCGGCCTGGTTCCGTCTTCAATCTTGCCAACAGTAAACGTAGGTGTTAACTTTATACCATCTTACTTAAATAGGCTACTTCTTGGAAAAGTAGCGAGGTCAGTGAGACGAGAAACAGTCTGAAAAGAGCAAGTGATTTTCTTGACAGCTGTGGTGAGTTCGAAACAACGACGAAATGTGGAGCAACCAAGACCACGTACAGGGATCCTCAAATGTCGACCTTGACGCCGCGGACAATTCTGAAAGTGAATTTAGCCTGCGATCTTTTTCAACAAGTGGAGTTTCTTCCTTGATGCCTAGATCATGGGGTTTGGGATCGAAAACTGAGAAGAAAGTCTCAACTCCATCTAGGTTGTTTTCTGACATACCTGAAGCTTGCAGTCTGGTGAGAACGAATCACTGTGATCAGGTTACTTCACTGAGTCCTGGTGACCACCCAAAGACCAATTCTTGTCCTCCGAGAAAACGTCAAAGGCTGACTCCTGCGTCTAGTCATAGTCCACCGTTCTCATATCGTCCTCGCATTGGAACTACCTATGGTGGAGCAGCTAGCTGCCGAACTGCTCGAGAGTTATTCGAGGTGGGTTCATAAATCACTTCACTACATAACCTCAATATTGATTTGATTACAAGTTGTTCAGGTTACCTTTGTAATTATAAGTGAAACTAAGCAGTTATTGTTAATATCAGCATTTAGTCTCCTACTAGCATTTAAATGTTTCCAACTTACAGTTATTGGTACTTCATCCTCGTCTTTCTGTTTTTATCCTCTATATCGCAGTTCACAACACCGCTGAGGTTTGAACTAAGCTCTGGAAATAAAATGCAATCTAAAGAGAGTTCAAAAGCCAATTAAGTTCGACCGCCAGAAGAATCCTAGAAACGTTGGAAAACCTCTCGACTCCACTTACTTCTGGATTTTTACAGTCCGGCATCCCAATGCACACTACAAAGGTAAGCGACTTTTTGCCAACTTTGCCTTTTTAGTTCGTTTAACCATCAAGTTTGCGACTGTCCTGCTGGTTCACCCCTAATAAGCATTTGTCTAAGGTAGTGGTTGCCGCGTTAACAGTGGAACAGGTTGCTTAAAATACTCCTGTTTTACACTCCCACAGTGCTTTTCAGCAGCCTGGAGTTCACCGACTATAATGGTATTCTTATAGCAGCAATGCACAGGAAAACTGACTACTTAATGCATTGTTACTGCTAACTCAAGATCTTTGCTGATTGATACGAAGAAATATGAAGTGTGCTTTGTTTTTGATTCACTGTTTTCATGGTCTAATAAGGAATTGCAGGGAATTCCTCTGATGACCATAATGAGGTCAGTTCATTTATGAAGTTATGTCTAAGATATCACAGCATATAATCATGAAATGCCTAAGTGGAGCTTGCGAATTCGAGTTCAGGGAAATCATGCAGGTTTCAAACCTGACCACTGGGGTATCAACGAGATACTTATTCGTACCAAACCTTGGGACGTGGGGTTCTTTAGAATGCCTGACATTGATTGTATTTCTTAACAACCAGAACACATTGCACTCCGTTGATTAATGGATCTTATAGTTGTCTCGCCCTCTGTACTGGTGGCCAAGTTAGTATACCTCTGAGCGCTAACAATAATCTATGAAGTTGCTGGCAGGTTGGGTCTGCCCTGGTGAGTTGTTGGTCAGTGGAAATTTTGCGTTTGCAAGCAGCTGGTTGGGTTTCTGTTAACCTGCGTTTTCGGCCGCTTCACCGTAGTATGCAAGGGTGATTGGGAGTTCACTTCTATTGTAGCTGTTATGCACAACCATCGAGGTTCTTAACGGTTTTCACGGAGTTCTGATTACGCTGTCAAGTTTTGGCAGTCGGCTAGAAAATCACAGTTGCTGCTACGCTTAATCCATTTCATAGACGGATGACCGATTGCTGTCAGTGTATTTTTCCAATGTTAGTGACGACTAGATTCTAGTCAGAAGCCTCGAGCTACTGTTTTCAATCGCTAACTAGTGATTCATCGATATAGTTTTCCGATTGTAGGTAGGGACTGGATTCCGTTCACTTAACGTAAGGTTTACAAATGTGTGTGGAAAACGACTGCGAAGCAGTGGGGTTATACATTAAGACGTCTTTGCGCTTCAGATCAACCTCGTCTTGTATGATTGGTTTGCACTTTTTGTAACCTGACCCTAAGCCACTTTTGATACTGGCATAGTTTCATCGGCAAGGACCGTCAGTCTATGTCTAGATTTATTACGGCTGGCCTACCTAAATGCACTTTCTTGCGTCCGCTACTTAAAAAATTGTCGAGGCCCTCAAGTCTTCTGTTGTTTTATAGAAATCTGCAGTAACTGGTTAAAACGACACACACACACAGGTAACCTACGTTGTGATTGGGGGTCTGAAAAAGCTGTATTGGCTAACTAAAAACAAGAAAGCCATCACTGTTTTGTTGACCGACCAACATTCTGCAGAAGTCTCCCTGTTTTCAGGAAGAAAAATTGGTGGTCAGCGCTGCAAACAGTGCTCTCTGTTGCTCGCTTATCTAGCATTAGTAGGTTCCTCACTTATTGACCTCACTATAATTCAGAAAAGATCACTTGTTGACTGAGAACAGGTTAGCAGTTGTCTGTACGATGTTTGACCGATTCCCACAGCAAGCACACGATAACGGCAAAGTTTTTCTGTTATATCTCCACACACTGACAACAACTTGAATAAAGTGGTTTACGGGTTAGACTGACCCGATGTTTTTTCAGCAACATACTGCAACCATCACTGGTTTGACAGTGAGACTGTTGTCTCATGTTAAGTATTGGTGTTTTTCACTAGTAGATTATCGAGATGAAAGCGTATACGGACCAACTTCGCTTCTTCATACCTACCAGCTTTGGGCCTTCGTCGCTACTGGTAAAAGCAATGTCATTACCATCTTTCCTGTTGTCTCTTATTTTTGTTTGAGTTTTGTGTCATGTAATTATTTCTATTTCGACAATATCTGTCTCTACGCATATATCGCGTAGTTCTGAGGGCCGGGGAAATGTGAATTGTTTCAATCGTTTACTAACGATATGTAGTGTTCGTCTCAAATTAGCGAGCACTTAACATACATTCAGTAGCCTCTACACTTTCATCATTCAGTTTGATCTCATTTCAACCATCCAAGTCATTAATTTTTTTTTGCTTCTATTTATTCCAAAATAATAATTTAAACCATTTCTTTACAACTTTTATAGGTTAGGGCACATGTGAGGTCTCACCGCTTCCCACTGTTCTTCAGAGATTATGAGAAAATGAAAAATGTTCCTAAGGAGTCTGAGACATGTTACCGCAGAAGTGAGACTCTAGAACGTGCACCGTCTCAAACAGATGGACAAAGTTACGTCTCGCCGGAAATTGTTCCGCACACTAAAGAACATGAGCTTGTTCGGAAAAGAAGCGCATGTGAACCTGTCAACAGTATAGCCACATCAGTATCTGGAACATTTCATGAGAAGTTAGAAGAGCTGTCGCCAAAATACACTTTTGCTGATCCCATTCGTAAGTTTAGCAGAAATGACGCTGGACTTGTTACGTCATTCAGTTCGAACCAGAAGTATGCTTTCAGCTGCCCGAGTCGTTCATGCTCGAAATGTCCATCACGACCAGTTGTAATTTCCAAGGGATCGAGTGTACCACGGACAACTTGCTGTAATGTTTCGCCTGTCAAATCTAGAAGTGAGTCGGTCCTGCTAGCGAACAATATTCCATGTAACCTTCGTTCATTGTCTGACACTTTTGATACATCGTAAGGTTTTAACAGTAGGTTTTGCTAGGAGAGTGGATTGTCTGTGTAAACAAACCTGTTTTAAAATGTATTTTGGTCATTAGCTATTTCGATATTAATTATATTAATGTTAATATATGCCCACACCCCAGTTTCCCATTATGATTCCAGTCATCACCGTATTTCATTGCAACTCGTTTGGAAATACATTTAATTCGAAGTTTTTAATTTAATAGAGAAATTTGATTTTTTTCGAATCTATTGGGGCTTGTTTTTAATAATGTGTACACATTACATCAATTTTCCAATATCAGAATAACTCTGTGAATAGAGCAGATTGTGTTGATGGAAACGAAGAAATCGTTATCATTGGAATGATTGAGCAAGCGTTTAAGACTTCATTATTTTCCATTTTACTCTCGACTATCTTGTTTTACAGCAGTTGAGATAAAAACATGGCGTTGCGAAACCTGTTTATTAGAAAACTCGGACAATAAAGTTACTTGTGAAGGCTGCTCTCTTCCTAAGTCAAAGTGTCAACAACAAGTTCAGTATACTCCATGTGCCCCGTCAATGTCGTTGCCAGAAATGACCGTGATACCACCATCTAACTCTCTGCTTCTTATTCCACAATCGACTTCTAAGTGGGAATGTTCTACGTGCATGGTATTCAACGAGAAGGAGACGTCCAGCTGCGTGTGCTGTCAAACTCAAAGACCGTTGTCGGACTTACAGAGTTCCTGGGACTGCCCAACATGCATGGTACAAAATGATGGCAAATTGAATAAATGTCCGTGTTGTTCTACCAATAAACCTGGTACAAAACCGGACAATCGGACTTTCACAGACCGCGGCAATTTCTCCATATTATCCAGCCAGCCACCAAGTAGCATCAAGTTCGGTTTCAGCATTCAAAAATCAGTTAGTCCACAAAAGTCGGAAGTTGTTACCCCGAATAATACTACGACCGCGAAACTGCATCCCGCGCTTTCTAATAAAATAACCAATTTTGCATTAAGTGAAACTGAGAAATTACCCGTATCAGAAAAACAACCAGAATCTCGAAGTTGTATTTCATGGCACTCCCGGAGTGATGTTACTTCACCCCGCTTCATACCATTAACACAGTCAATTGTCACTACAAGTTTTGGCATCAACACCTTTGGTCAAAGCTGTGGTTTAAATGCTGCGATCGGTCCAGATTCATCTTTCGTATCTCATGCATCTAATGAAAACACTAATGTATCATGTTCGACGGACAGTGGTCCCATCTTGTTTCCCGCCCCAAATTCTACTGACAAGACGCCTCTGTTTTCATTTGGTTCCTGTTTAACGTCGTCAGGATTTAATGGATTCACACATACTCCACCAGCTAGTTTTTCCGATCGTCCAAACGGAGGTGTTTTTCATTTTGGTTCAATTACTAAGGTGAACGATCATCTGACTGGTTTAAATACTTCAATTCCTCAGTTGTCAACCTTCGCATCTTCGAATCAAAAGTAAGTGGGAAGTCATAAACTCAGTAACCCGTGATAAAAGTAACTTTATGTATTAAGATTTTGTTCGAGTACATAATGTTTCTAATACCTGCATCTTACAAACCAATACGGTGCTAATATATTTGTGTTCTTCAGAATACAGCCTTATAAAAAAGTGCCGCACAAATTATAGATACATTTGAAGCAAGCAGTGTTTATCAGGTCTTGCTAAAGTTACGATCCTGTGTCCATGACCACGTTATTTAGTCACTACGATGAATGTCCATTCTCTAACTCGTGATTCAAAAAAACATCCTTGAGGTACAGAGGAAATAAGATCGAAACATGTATGTGGTTTCCGTATTGCACTACTCAGTATATATTCTGTCATGCTCGAACAAGCTTCTGCTATCCGCGTGCTCAAATTTCACAGTACAGCTGCTTGTTCCACCCTTCATGATGCTTCGATTACTTTTGTTTACCCTCTTGAAGATGTATAATCTGAAGAAATGTGAAACGTAAGATAGTAATGACAACATGGAGTCATGCAGTTCTATCACGTAAAATTTTGCGAGCAAAGTGTTTTGTCACTGAATATGTACAAATACAGGCGAAGAATTCTTAGTGGAGCATGCGTTCTGAATACGCCACAAAACGGTTACAGGTTTAGGTGTAATTGTGACATAAATGTCTATGTTAATTTGTATTCGAGTTTACACCCGTTTTATTTGATTTCCTGGTACTAAATCTTAAAGCTTTTTCTGACCACAAGTTCTTAACTTTTTAAGGAATAATTTTCAATCAGTCCTAACTAATGAGACACTTTCACCTGCTTATGACTGGATATAGGCCGGGAGATATTTAACCTTCTTTTTAAGATCTATTTCTCTCATGTAAATAGTCCGTGATGAAGTTACTTTTATGTCTACTTGTGAAACAAAAAAGTAGGTGAACGTACTGACAAAACTATTCCATACACTCACATTTCGACTCTTGTCACTCTAAGTCTAGTGGAGCGTCTTTGGCACATGCCCCATGAAAAAGCTATCGTGATGGACTATGAATTCAAGTACTAGAAAACCTGCACCGCAAGCAACTTTGTGATATAATGGTGATAAGTTAGTTCAACCTGTTAACTCGGTACGCATTTCCAGAGACCTAGGGCAAATTCTCTGACTACAAATCCCTGTCAAGTTGAAATTGTGGAGTTCGGTACTTTGCTGCCACAACCACGCCTACGAACAAAATCAACCCTTACGCAGAGGTGCATCATTTCACTTTGCCACACTTCACAGTAGCATGCAAAGAACAAATGGATAGAAAAAGATTGACTTCGACGTGGGAGGTGTAAGGGAGAAGCAATTTGAAAATGTTGACAACTAAGGTGCTGTCAAAAGGTGAATATGTTTGAGCTGTTGTGACTGGCTTTCATCTGTTTCACCAACAGTCAGAAACCATTGATTCCTATGATCTCGTGGACCCCATTCAAACCACCCTAGTACTTCCGTTACTGTAGTCGGTAGTTTTATACCTCCATCATTAAAATTTCTGATGGCAAACTGTCAGCCACTTTACGCGGTTGGTGACGCCATGAACCTTAGTCGACTGATGTGGCTTGAACGTGTACTGCACATGCCAGTCCCCGCTTCATCGATGTGCAATGATGGGTTAATGAAACAGATAGCAGTTAGTCACAATAGCTCAGACATTCACTTTCTAACAGCTCCGAGTTTGTAAACATTTTCCTTTACTTCGATTTTCAAATTGCTTCTTCTTTACACCTACTTTGAAGACTGGCCTTTTTTCTATCTATTTGTTCTTTGCATGCTACTCTGAGGTATGGCAACTTGCACTGATGCACGGCTGTATGCTGATTATAAGTCTGTCTTGCATGTTATGTTGGTTTCTTCTACGTTCCTGCTCGCATAGTGTATCTGATGGATAAAGCAATATGTGTCGTCAGTATGCTGTCTAGTGCATGCTGCAAGCGGGTGCATTCCCATTGAAAGAAGCTAGTATTTTGAGTGCGAGCTTTCTTTGGACGTGTAGGCGAGTATTGTAAACTAATTTAAGACCAAGGAAAATATTTCTGGACTCATCTAACTCACCTGAAGAAAGGCAGGTTTTTATTGGTGTGACAGTTTCACTTTTGTAATAAACATGATCATGAACCAGAAAATAACCGACTGTCGACGTTGTTTTTACTGGACAGCAATAAAGAAAAGAGGTTAGTCATTACCATTAACTACACCGAAAGCTCTTTTGCCGGCAAGTAATTAGGGTTATTTACTTTGCCACTGCTGGTTAATGGTGCTTCCTCTTATGTTGCATGTTGTAACATTCTTGCAATATAGCCATTAATTCGACTTACGGACGTTATCCATTCCTTACTAGAAATCATCTCTTAATCCTAGTAACAATTTTCTCCGATCATCGTTCTCATCATTACTAAAATGTCCAGTGATTCATTACATTTAATTTTTCATAGATTTCATTCTAATTGAGCCGTTTATTTTTATTTAAAATATCTGGTGTAGCCTACTCACAAATACCGAAGTTCGGAAAAAAGCGCACGCGATTCGCCGTCTGCGTCGGTGAAGAAGCCACCCGTATTCTGATTCCAATTGCCTGTTGTCGCTTTGTATCAAATCTCATGAATGTTACTTGTAAATAGTGATCTTACATCTGTCGTGAACCTTTGTAATGATATTTACCGTACTATTGACCTATTTTGAGATTCTTTTACTTCTACGAGGCTACCTGAAGCTAAACAGTGTTTTTTCTCTTAAAGTGGTATTTCTTATCTATCTTATCGTATTGTTATACAAAAAGTAATCTCAGTGTTGTGGATGATAATGTGTTATCTGAATAGTATCTCTTCGTTAATGTAACACTAATTTAGTATATTCCAATATCACTTCAGAAGGTGATCATCATTAGTGCTCAGAGTCGAAGCTGCTTGGCTTGATTGTGGTGATATTTGACAAATAGGTAGAATGACCAAGTAAAAACCAAAAACAACCAATCAGTATTCACGTAAAACAATGGTCTATGCAGGAAGAAGTCGAAGTGCACAGAAGGACACAATATTTCCACGTTTAGAAGCAGAAGCATGGTCGTAATGCCACAACAAAAATTCCAACTTCTTAAGTTGTACAGATCAAAAGAAAAATCGTTTCTAGAAGTGTCACGAGGAAGGTTGAAAATATTAACAAAGAGACGAAAATCAAACAAAAAAGTTATATCAGAGGCTTACAAATAAACTCGTCACGACTCCGCACATAATACGACCACGATAAAAGTAATAAGTAACACCTATCTATCACCTAATGGTTTAATTTATTTTCCTAATTTGCACCTTAAAAATGCATGTTTGATAAAAGCATATATTGCTTATATTTTCCCATTTCCAGTATCAAATAATGAGCACCATTTCATGTGAGCTATTACATGTATTTGCTAACGTGAGTGACTAACTTAAAGCTTCACCGCATGGTTGTGGATTCATGATAATATAAGGCTAGCCATAAATATTGAAGTAGATAGTTTCTTCCTTAACTCTAGTTGTGGGCACGTGTTCAGAAAGGCCTTCAGGCCAGTAACTTAGTAGTTTTGGATTGAAATGAAAATTGTAAACCGAAAAACTTCGTATTGGTCGCAACTCTCCAAGTTAAGATGTGAACTAACAATCATAAATAAATGTTTTCGTAATACAGACCATAAAATTACTGTAGTCGTTCTCAGAAGTGAATGCGCAAAGATCAGCTTTCTGAGGGTATATGTATATAAGGCGAATATTTGTCCTCAGGTGCAAGAAATTGTATGTTGCAATAACGTTGAATGGTGATTATTCTATAGTTACTCTAGACATCAACGTCAGTGCACAGCCTTTAGATGAAACTGAACTAGGAAAGTGTGAAATTTCCCAGCAGCACGACAACCAGCGAAATAGCCTGACTACAAATCCCATACACCAATAAGAGAAACTTAACAGCAATATCGACAGAAAAATACATCAGAAGGCGACTTACCTCAGCGACAGTCTTTCGACAAAAAAAAACGCAAAGAGGCCATCACACGTGCATCACCGAAAAAATTTAAGACGTAGCCCAACAACGCAGAAACCACGAACACCTTAATTCAAAACTACATCCTCCCATAAAAGCTACCCTAAGAACCCTTTACGGAAAAGCCTGTCCATGATTAAGTAGAGTGACGTATAATCCGAGTGCAATAATTATGCCATCTAGTGAGAATGGAGACTGGTGTTTTCGTGGACTTAGCTGACCTTTGTATCTTGTACTTGGCAAGCAATTTTAAACTGCGGGCGAATTATCTTTGGGAAGTCAGCGAATCGACAAGACCACACTGGCGAGTGTATGCAGTCTGTCGCAAAGAGTCAAATGCATTCAGATTACTTCCTACACGGAGCATCTTGATGTTGATTGCTCCACTGAATGATGTAACAACTGATCGCTGGAAACTTGTGTGGCAACTGAATTTCTCTTGCATAGGCATTCGTCTGTGAAATATGCAAGTCTTCGAGTTTACTGTCATCAGTTTGATTCACGCTTGTAATTGTGTTTGGTGGCTAGCAGATTTTCCAACTTGTATTCTCAACATGTAGTTACGTGACGTATATAATGTATCTACAAGAAACGACTAGCATGAACATAATCAATACCCCCGCGACTGGAGACATTACATGGACAAGGAGAGTCGTATTAGTTGGAAAATCTAACTAAATCCACCTAATACGACTCTCCTTGTCCATGTAATGTCTCCAGTCGCGGGGGGTATTGATTATGTTCATGCTAGTCGTTTCTTGTAGATACATTATATACGTCACGTAACTACATGTTGAGAATACAAGTTGGAAAATCTGCTAGCCACCAAACACAATTACAAGCGTGAATCAAACTGATGACAGTAAACTCGAAGACTTGCATATTTCACAGACGAATGCCTATGCAAGAGAAATTCAGTTGCCACACAAGTTTCCAGCGATCAGTTGTTACATCATTCAGTGGAGCAATCAACATCAAGATGCTCCGTGTAGGAAGTAATCTGAATGCATTTGACTCTTTGCGACAGACTGCATACACTCGCCAGTGTGGTCTTGTCGATTCGCTGACTTCCCAAAGATAATTCGCCCGCAGTTTAAAATTGCTTGCCAAGTACAAGATACAAAGGTCAGCTAAGTCCACGAAAACACCAGTCTCCATTCTCACTAGATGGCATAATTATTGCACTCGGATTATACGTCACTCTACTTAATCATGGACAGGCTTTTCCGTAAAGGGTTCTTAGGGTAGCTTTTATGGGAGGATGTAGTTTTGAATTAAGGTGTTCGTGGTTTCTGCGTTGTTGGGCTACGTCTTAAATTTTTTCGGTGATGCACGTGTGATGGCCTCTTTGCGTTTTTTTTTGTCGAAAGACTGTCGCTGAGGTAAGTCGCCTTCTGATGTATTTTTCTGTCGATATTGCTGTTAAGTTTCTCTTATTGGTGTATGGGATTTGTAGTCAGGCTATTTCGCTGGTTGTCGTGCTGCTGGGAAATTTCACACTTTCCTAGTTCAGTTTCATCTAAAGGCTGTGCACTGACGTTGATGTCTAGAGTAACTATAGAATAATCACCATTCAACGTTATTGCAACATACAATTTCTTGCACCTGAGGACAAATATTCGCCTTATATACATATACCCTCAGAAAGCTGATCTTTGCGCATTCACTTCTGAGAACGACTACAGTAATTTTATGGTCTGTATTACGAAAACATTTATTTATGATTGTTAGTTCACATCTTAACTTGGAGAGTTGCGACCAATACGAAGTTTTTCGGTTTACAATTTTCATTTCAATCCAAAACTACTAAGTTACTGGCCTGAAGGCCTTTCTGAACACGTGCCCACAACTAGAGTTAAGGAAGAAACTATCTACTTCAATATTTATGGCTAGCCTTATATTATCATGAATCCACAACCATGCGGTGAAGCTTTAAGTTAGTCACTCACGTTAGCAAATACATGTAATAGCTCACATGAAATGGTGCTCATTATTTGATACTGGAAATGGAAAATATAAGCAATATATGCTTTTATCAAACATGCATTTTTAAGGTGCAAATTAGGAAAATAAATTAAACCATTAGGTGATAGATAGGTGTTACTTATTACTTTTATCGTGGTCGTATTATGTGCGGAGTCGTGACGAGTTTATTTGTAAGCCTCTGATATAACTTTTTTGTTTGATTTTCGTCTCTTTGTTAATATTTTCAACCTTCCTCGTGACACTTCTAGAAACGATTTTTCTTTTGATCTGTACAACTTAAGAAGTTGGAATTTTTGTTGTGGCATTACGACCATGCTTCTGCTTCTAAACGTGGAAATATTGTGTCCTTCTGTGCACTTCGACTTCTTCCTGCATAGACCATTGTTTTACGTGAATACTGATTGGTTGTTTTTGGTTTTTACTTGGTCATTCTACCTATTTGTCAAATATCACCACAATCAAGCCAAGCAGCTTCGACTCTGAGCACTAATGATGATCACCTTCTGAAGTGATATTGGAATATACTAAATTAGTGTTACATTAACGAAGAGATACTATTCAGATAACACATTATCATCCACAACACTGAGATTACTTTTTGTATAATAACACGAAACCTTTCATGTTTGTGTATTATTGAGTCTATTTTTGTTAATTATACGACGATTAATATTTAGGCTTACTTGAGTTTTCTTCGAGTTCGCTGAGCGTCACATACTTCCTTAGAATTTATACCCTAGGTTTTGTCGAGATTCAGCATTGATGCTGACCTTTTTAGTTTTATCGGTTTGTTTCGTCAGGCTGATAGCACACGGCCAAGTATCCACGCCGTTTGACACACTGCCGTGTTACGTTGCACTGCTCGTAACCGACCCTCTAGCTAGCTAGTCGAAAGGCATCGGTATTTTGGCACAAGCTCGCGAAAATACTATTGCATCTGACCACGCTACTACGTTCATACTTAATCTCGTATTCGTGTGTATCATACAGATACCAATAATTAGTGATTGGCTTCTGCCTCTGTCAAGTTAACACAAGGACAGTTCCTGAATTGGAGGGCTCGATCCTTTTTACATATGGATATATAAAGGTTTTCAAAATGAAAACGATGAACAAGCGTAATATTACTAATTTATATTCCTGGCTAAATTTCTTGAACTGGATTTAATTTTAGGTAGAATAAATGATATACATTAGATCTCTGTCTACGTCAAAGATTCCCGGAACATCAAAAATATCCTAAGTAAATATTATGTAATACAAGGGCCATCATAGTAAAAGAAATATCATGGTATTCCACCTGTACAAGATTTACTGTAGCATTTTTGCATTTCAGTGTCTTGGTTGATGTTAGCATATGCGAAGTCAACGATACTTATTGGTATCACTTTAAGAGTAGAATAGCGTTTTATAGTGCAGACTGAATTTGCATCGCAGGATAAGGTTTTCAGTTTTAGATAACTAACTGCAAGTATGTCGCTGAATACTTCACACATGTCTATCGGATTATTGTAAGCCTATTGTCATGAATGAGAGGGGGAATTT